TTAGGGTATTGTAGATAGATAATATAAGTTATGGGCCCTGTGGGCTTATTTATATTTCTTTGAAAGGTAAATAAATGAAATGAAATGAAATGTCAAAATACGGAATATAGGGAGGTACCGTTATATTGGAGCTATGCGAAGACGTGGACCTGCACAGACAATTTTCTGTCATTGGCTGTAGTACCCATTACGATCTTCAAATACCAAATTTTAAACAATTCCGGTGAATAATGTCGCTAAAATCATCAAAATACCGAATATCGGGAGGTACCGTAATATAGTAATAATTTTCTGTCATAGGCTGTAGTACCCATTACGAACTTCAAAAAAATATTGGTATGTGCAAAATTTAAAGGAAATCGAACTCTTATATCCATTTGTATCTAAAATCATAAATTCCGATAAATTACTTATTCTTATCAGATTTCTGGTTAAGAGAAATATTTAGATATAATAAGTTGTAGAGAAACGCTGACTTGTTACGGAACTTATAACAGATATAAGTATTGGAAATTGTGACTCTTTGTGGGTGAGTTACCAGAAGGGTGTTGGAAGGGAAGGGATTCACAACCGATCTAGTTTTAGCAAAAATGTTTGCACGTGGGAAATTTGAGAAGATGGATGGACGGATTTGGGTGCTTATTTCGCTTTCTTTGAACGTAATGTTTGTCAAAATCTTGAACCCTATGTGGGGGAGGTACCAGAAGAAATGGTGCGATATCTACCATCTTTATAGCAGATCTTGTATTGATGGAAATATTGAAATGTATCAAGTCTGAATGGAATCGGATGTTATTTTCGGGTTTTATGAAATTCATGGATACTCAATATTTTGGCCCTTTTTGGGGGAAGTACCAGAAGGAGTGGACCGATATATGCCATTTTCACACCAGACCTTGGGCTAATAAAAATATTGTGATGTGTGTAACTTGAAGAGAACCGAATGCTTATTTCGGATTTTATAATCGTTTTGATTATTCAGAACTTTGACCCTTTGTGGGGGAGGTACCTTTTTCATAAAAGATCTTGTGTTAATGGAAATATTGAGATGTGTCAAGTCTGAATGGAATTGGATGTTAATATCGTTTTTATGAGCTTCATGAATATTCAAAATTTCAACCCTTTGTGGGAGAGGTACCAGAAGGAGTGGACCGGTATATGGACATCGCTAGATCGACTCTAAATGTCCTGAAACGGATTTGGTCCAAAGCGATCTAGGGTCTAAAATCGTTATATCGGTTAGGCACGTTTTGGTCGTATCAAATGATGTATACCCTCTGTAGCCATATGGCTGAGGGTATATAAAACGTGAACCACTGCACATTGACCATTTATGGAATGATATTTTTAACGACCGTATATCTAAGGAAATACACAAATGTCCAACGGAACGACTTTAAAATTCAAATATGTGACATTCAATTACTCAAAAAAGGGATCCATATTGGAAAAGTCAAATTGAACTGAACCAAAGCATATCTAAATTAAAAATTTTTTTCATTTGATGCGGTTCCCTAGTACTAAAATGAAGAGAACTTCATAAGTAAATGTAGTTGAAGAACTCAAAATTTAACTCTAAAATGGGGACTGTAGAATATGTGGCCTGCGATGTGGTTCTATTTTTAATTAAAATTTATTTAATTTCATTAATTTTTTATAAACTTCATTTATTTATATAAACTCCCTTTCCAGTGGTTTTAAAATTTCCTTGGCCTGAAGGGTAAATAAAACGCATTAGTCACTTCAGCCTTAAATACATTCCACTTGAAGCTGGTCCCATTCACAACTCTTTATATCCTCAATATGAAGATGTTATTTTTTTGGAGGTTTTTTTACTATAAAAATCCTTTTGCTGTTTTTTTTTGTTTTGAAGAGCATAACATTAAATAGAAAATAATAATTGTTCAACATGCAGAAAAACGAACATATTTACATTACATTTCAACATCTGATTAAAAATGTCTAAGCGTTGTTTGTTGAAAAAAAAAAAAAAAACATAACCAAAAAGGAAGAGCTTAAGGCTTATTTCTTTGCATGTGAGGTAAACGCAAGGATGAGAACGAACAACATTATCAACTATTATCACATACACTGTTGCTGTTGTTGGTGTTGTTGTTTCCAAATTGAGGTAATTTTTTTTTTGCTGCTGTTGAAAACGCTTCAACCGCAGATAATTTGAGGCACACATCACAGAGTAAATTGTGCGCAGAAGCTGGATTTATTTTTTCTTCGTCGTCCACATAAAATACTACAAGAGAAACTTATTATGTAGTTGAATAGTAGACGCTTACACGTTAAGTTCATTGTGAGTATTTGTTAAAATGGTTGTTTGAAGAAGAAAAAAAATATAGGTGAATAAATTTTATTGTGGTTGTGGACAAGAAAAAAAGTGGAAAAATTGATTGGAGAACTAATTTTTAGTTTAACAGAATGCTAATTACAGACAAATAAGCTTAGAAGTCTTTCAAATGAAAAATTCTTGTGCTCAATAATTTGTCTAAACCTTTTCAAATCCCAAAAAAACATTGCATTGATAAAACATTAAGGGTTTAAATGCCTAAAAATCGTGTCCTTGGTTTGCAGCAAATGTAAATGTTTTGAGAACGCTTTAATTTCTCATACCATTAGTGCTATCGAAAAAAATGAAAAAGTGTACCATGACACAGCTAATGGGCAAAATAGGTGACGCCACTATGCTGTCAATACCAATTAGATTTACAACTTAAAATGGGGACACCAACTGTTTTCTGGGAATGTTAGACAACTTCAATAGCTTCATTCAACCAATATTACCGAAATACTTTTGATGTCGATAAATTGTTTTCAATATGAATTGAGATAGTTTATTACATGTAAAATGTAAATATGCCATATTTTAAAGAATCTTTAACATCGTCTGTGCATGTCGCTGTCTGCCCATGTATTTTTGTAATACATATCGCATTCATTGCTGTAAAAAACCATTATATTTAGTCCATCTCCATATATCATCCATAATTTGTAAAATTGGATTCAGATTTTGTGGTCTAGCCTTGCTATATTTTCTTTAAAATCATAAGAATTATGAAAAAACATTCCATTCAGGAAAGTACACAGAAATGCATTTCAAAAACATTTCGGGGGAGCCAACTGTTCAGAAAATAAAAAATGTAAAAAAAAATTACACAAAATTGTCATTTCGGAGGAGGCCTGGAATCTCATGACTCTCACACTGCGTATGTTACTGGTTAGCATACCATACCACAAAGCCTCTGATAAATCTCTAGCATAGGCCATGCGATTTCTTGGTATGACATACTAATTTCTTATTTATTTATACCCTCAGCCATATGGCTAGAGAGGATATATATCATTTGATACGACCAAAACGTGCCTCATCGAAATAATGGTTTACACCTTAGGTCTCTTTGGACCAAATCCGTTTCAGGACATTTGGAGTCAATCTGCCGATGTCCGTCCGTCTGGCTGCTGAAAAATTATTAACCTATTTTTTAAATGAATATTTATCCACTTACGACTTGAATATATTGCCATAAACCCCTTACGCTGCAACCCTGCATCCGTTTTCAGAACGATAAACATATCATATTGGTTCCCTTCCACTACAATATATACCCAAAAAGGAATTATTCTCTGACTTGCCATTGTGGATACCCACATAGTCATAGATGTACTCCAGATGATTTTCCAATTAATAATCATGAAATGTCAGGTGGATGCGGTGACCCAAGACCATGTGGAAATGCCAGTAGCAATAAATGTTGCGCGGATAATCCTCGGGATAAAGGGTACTGGAGATGACACCATATGGATTGGTGATTTCTAATTTACAACTGGTCTCGGTACAGTTGTGATGATTTTCATCCAGAGTGAAACCATTGCGACAACTGCAAACATAGGAACCATAGGTTCCTGCGATAACTCTCGAAGGAAGTATGCGATTTGATCCAAATTTGGTACATCGTAATATTATTGTGAAACTTAAATCAAGTTCGGAGATGGGCAATATCGCTCCACTCCATCTGGCACCTCCCCCACAAAATGTTAACATTTTCAAAGAAAATATGTTTACTGCACAGAAAGAGAAAAGATAATCCAACTTTGCGAATCCGATTGTCTTCAAATTACGAACATCACATTATTTTTATTAGCCCAAGATCTGGTGTTAAGATGGAATAAATCGGTCCAATCCTTCTGCATTTCGATTTTCTTCATATTTCACAGATCCTATTATTTCTACTAACACTACTAAAATAGTCCATTCCTTCTGGTACCTTCCCCACGAAGGATCAAAATTCTGAATATCCAGGAAGCTCCTAAAACGCGAAATTAACATCCGATGGTAGAGAAAGGACCATTTCTTCTGGTACCTCCCCACATAGGGTTTTAGATTTTGAAAAACAAAACGCTCAAAAAAGCGAAATAAACATCCAATTCTCTTCAAATTTCACACATCCAAATATTTTTGCTAACACAAGATATGTTGCGAACATGATATATGTCTGCCAACCCCTTCTGCTCCTGCCATAATTTGCGAAACAAGTCGGCGATGCTATACAACTTGCAATATCTAAATATTTCCCTTAGCCAGAAATCTGATATGAATATGTAATTATTTGAAATTTAAAATTTCGTATAACACTGGATATATGTGTTCGATTTCCTTTAAATTTTGTACGTACCAATATTTTTAACCTGTATTAGATAAAGTGGAATATTTCGGAACATCCTCCAAAAGGGTAAACAGTTTGAATATTTATAACTCAAGGCTGGTAAAAATCTGTCGGCAAAAACGACTGATACTATTTTACTTGTTTTAATAGAATTAGCCATCCCTTTTGGCTAGTGGGAGGATAGAAAGGTTCTTTCCGGAAATTATTTATATTTTTGTATCTCATAATATTCTATTAACTAGTTACATATTCTTTTATCTTATTTCAAATCCTTTCCATATTTTATATTTTTACTTAAAACATTTTCCCTCTTTCCTTTCATTGCAGATATTTTATTTTAATTTAGTTCTCACATAATCAGACAGAACCCATAAGCTTGCTGAATATACGAGAAAAAAAGAAGAAGCGAAAAAAGAGTCCTAATTGCAACAACGTTGTTAGTGAAGAAGAGGAAGCAGAACACATCATTCCAAAATGGGTTCTCTGTTTCGCAGTGAGGAAATGACGCTTTGTCAGTTATTTCTGCAAAGTGAAGCGGCCTATGCCTGTGTCTCAGAATTGGGTGAATTGGGATTAGTTCAGTTTAGAGATGTAAGTAAAGAATACAAACTGTTTTAAGAAGTCGAAATTAATACCAATGCTTAAATGTTTAGCTAAATCCTGATGTAAATGCTTTCCAACGTAAGTTTGTCAACGAGGTAAGGCGTTGCGATGAAATGGAACGTAAATTGAGATATTTGGAAAAGGAAATCAAAAAGGATGGCATCCCCATGTTAGACACAGGAGAAAGTCCAGAAGCACCCCAGCCCAGAGAAATGATTGATTTGGAGGTAAATTTTTAAATATTCTGTTGTGGAATATCGTTGACATTTTTTTTATTTTGATACTTTAAGGCAACCTTTGAAAAATTGGAAAATGAATTACGCGAAGTCAATCAAAATGCTGAGGCCTTGAAACGCAATTTCCTGGAGTTGACGGAATTGAAACATATTCTACGTAAAACTCAAGTTTTCTTTGATGAGGTAAGTTGAGTTGTCCTCAATAAAATGTATTCTCTAATAAACTTTGTGGTATATAATTCCTGATAAAAGAAATCTCTATGTAAAGCAAAAAAGTGTAAAACAATCTTTTTTGTATATAAACCAAAAAATCTAATGAATTGTAATTAACCCTTTGACAACACAACTGAGGGACGACGCACATATTTGTTGTAATAAATTTCTTTATTGTTATTATTATTTTTGTATAGTTATGTTGTATGGCTATTGTTGTATTATTTCCTTTCTTATGTGTATATTTATGTTTTTTTATTTGGTTGTGATCATAATTTTAGTTAATTTTCTTTATTGATTTAACAAACTTATCGAAATAATTTGGTTTGGGTTTGTAAAACAAGAAAAGGGTAATGGCAGCAATCAGCATGATTATAAATACGAAAAAAAAAAAAACAAAATGAAAACAGCAATTTACAATTTCAACAAAGAAACCAATTTCCAACTTTTAACTTTTAATGCTTTTTCTAACTTCTTAAACAATTTTTAGTTTATATTTGTATGATTTTACAAAACAAAAAAGAAAAGGAAAACCACCTACCACAGAATTGGGAAAGAGTATCGGCGTATTTGTTTTTGAAAACTGTTGAAAACAAAATTTTTCGAAAATTCAAACACTTAAAATATGTGCATTTTTAATTATTCTTCTAACACAATTTGTAATTTCTCCTATTCATATCCACATACCACAAGACAATGTAAATAGGCTTTTAAAAATTATTATTTTCTTTTTAAACAATTGATTTTTGCTATCCTTTAACTATACCTTTTGAACATAAACTTCTCTTTCGCCTATACGTATTACACTAACTGTGAAAAATACTACAACCCAAATATATTACATTGTATATTGACTTTCGCTACAATTGTTTTTTGAAAATAGAAATGTATTTAAAACGCTAGTTTTGGGTAGGCACAAAATTGCAAACTGAAATGTCTAAGCTCACTACTGCATTTAAGCTAATACCTGTATGTTTTTGGCAAAATTCATTAATACAGTACCATGGACTAATGAATATAAATACAAGAGAATGCTATCTTCAAAAAATCGGATTAGCAGATGTCGTCTAAACTGTTATATAGCAAATTTTAGATGTTTATTACTTGATGACATCGAAAAATTTCTTGCAATTCTTTTTTTTCAAAAATCTACGTTATATCCCAGAAACAATTTCTGAATTTTTTTTTAGATGAAACAAAAGCTCCGAATGGGTATTAAAAATAAAATAGGTATTCTAAATATTTCACCAAAAAAAAAAAAGAATCATTTTTAATATTTTTCCTTATTGCTCTTCTCATATGGTTGATCTTGGAAGCAGTGCACTCCATTAAGTTGAAATTAAGTGTAATTGTGTTTCATTATACCTCAGTCATATGATTACAAAAGGTATATATCATTTGATACGGCCAAAACGTGCCTTTGGACCAAATCCATTTCAGGAAATTTGGAGACGATCTAGCGATGTGCGTCCGTCCGTCTGTCTGTCTCGAAGGGAGTATCCGATTGGATCCAAACTTGGTGCATCGTAATATAATTGTCAAATTTAGATAGAGGTCGGAGAAGGACAAAATCGGTCCACTCCTTCTGGTAACTTCCCGCATATAATAGATATATTTTCAAAGAAAATAATTTACTGCACAGAAAGAGAAAGGATAATTCGGTTTTGATCCAAATTTACACATCCGGTCCACTCCTGGTACCTCCTCCACAATATTATCAAAGAAATTTACTGCACAGAAAGAGAAAGGATAGTCCGATTTTGCTCAAACTTTGCATATCATAATATTTCTATCACTGCTAGGTCAGGTGCCACTCTATCACGTACCACCCCCACAAACGCTCATAATTTGAAATGATTATAACTCTTATAAAATGTAATGTAAGTGACCGATTGTCTTTAAATTACACACAGCACAATATTTTTATTAATCCAAGGTCTAGTGTGAAGATGGACTATCACGGTCCACTCCTTCTGGTACCTCCCCCACGAAGGGTAAATTTTTGGAATATTCATGAAGCTCTTAAAACACGAAATTAACATCCGATTCCAGTTAGACTTGGCACATTTCAATATTTCCATCAACGCAAGATCTGTTAAAAATACAGTAGTAATCGGACCATTCCTTGTGGTACCTCCCCCACAAAGTCTAGGCTTTAAATATCAAAAACGAAGATAAAATCCGAAATAAGCATCCGGTTCTCTTCAAATTACTCACATCTCAATATTTTTATTAACCCTAGATCTGGTGTGAAGATGGAATATATCGGTCCACTCCTTTCAGTATCTCCCCAACAAAGGGTCACAATTTACAATACTTATATCTATCATAACTTGCAAAAAAATTATATATCTAAATATTTCTTTCAACCAGAAAATTGGAATAAAATTGGATATAAATTGGATGTTAGATTTTCTTGTAATTTTGCCAATACCAATATTTTATCAGTATTAGATGAAGTATACAAATGGAATACTTCGGCCCGCTATATCTGCCACCTCACGCATATTTCCACATTTTCCAAAATTTGTCCATATCTCAGTTGTCGATATATAAAGAAGTAATCGATATAGTCCAAATCTGGCACGTTTTAATATTTATATCACTTGCTCAATATTGGCCAACTGCTTCGAAACCTCCCCCATAAAGTGTCAAAATTTTGAATAATCAAACCACAACGCTGGGGTATACATCTGTCGGCAAAATCGACTGAGAGGCCCAAAGCTATAATGGAGTCGGCTGCCTAGACATAGGTTCAGGATGATGCAGTAGTCTTAACTCGTATTGGGCACGAATTGACGAAGATGTGAGTTACGTCAGGAAGGCGTGTGATACTGGTCCGCGCAATGCTAAAGCTATAACCGATTTAGCAGAAATGAAACAAACCATGTGAAGTTATTACAACAGCAACTAGCCTAGGCCTACTCTAAGACTATATATGAATATAATTTGATTTTAGAAGAAACTCAAATTGCAATAGCGTAAAAACTACAAAGCTTATTGTTAAATTGTTGACAAAAGTATTTTTTTTTTCGTCCTTATGGGCCTTGGTTCATACCAATGTGTATTTACAACGTGACACTGTAAGACCAGTTGTTTTCTTCGTTTTTCTGCCAAACTACATTTTTTTTATTAAAAATATTTAATAAATATACGTGTACAACTTTAAATTCAAATATTTATTAAGAAAATTATTTGATTTGTAATCTTTATCATATTTACAACTCCCGCACACAGATACATATATGTATGTATTTTGTTTTAAGCTTTCTCCTAAACAAACAAAAAAAGAATAATAATATGCTGTACAGTCGTGCTATATATCCTATCTGGTTAATGCAAACAGTTTTTTTAGTTAATTTTGTTTTATTAATTTTTTTTCATGCATACTGATTTTCTTTGGTTAAATGTTATGTTTTATTTTTTTTATCATTTTCGGTTTGTAATCGAAAACAAAAAAAAAAAAAAAAAAAAACAATTCGTTTATTGTTTATAATGAAATTCCAATGAACGCGGTGCAATTTTAAAATTTGCTATTGCCAACTGTAATCCTGCAATTCGATAATCCTGAATGTTTTGACAACCAAAACGTATTGGTTTTGGCCACCATCCCTCCCTCCCTATCCAACCCGCTTCCCATCCCCAATTAAATCCCACTGCATTGCATTCCCAACAACAACAACAAAAATCCAAACGGTTGTGTTGCCAGGCGGTCCCGACAATATCATATAATACAACATCCCACTATAAATCACGACGTTACCGACAGATGGCCGACAATCAAAATGAGGATGAACAGGCTCAGTTACTGGGAGAAGATGCAGGCGTACGGGCCAGCCAACCAGGACAAAATTTAAAATTGGGGTAAATATATTAAAAAAAAAAAACAAATCAAAAACTTGACAAATTGCATTTCAAAGAAAATCAGAAATGATGGAAATTGAACAAACCAACAAAGAAAAGAATTGAAAACATTACTATTTGAAATTGTGTTACCTTTTTTTCGTTAATTTTGTAAAATGTTAGTCATATATGCTTTGCGCTCTCTCCGTCTGTCTCTCTCTCTCATCATACAGTCATCATGCAACAATAATAATTCTAATCGCTCTGTTTGATTATTCTTATTTTTTTAACATATATAAATGATATATATATGAAAAATGCACATATTTATTACGAACGAACAAAGCCCATTAAGGGGTAATCATATTCCAAGGAATCGTGGCCAGATGAAGTTGTTGAATTGTGCTTCTTTCCTTAATTCTATGATAACTTTTGTGGCAACGAGTAGTAACATAGAACCAAGGCTAAATGCAAAATGTTAACTCATGTGATTACGAATTCCAGGATCTGATATACTAAAAATTTTATTAGCCAAAGAAATGAACAGTCTTTAGTGCGAATTTGGTACACAGTGTATTGGCACATGGCTTTTCATTTTTTTAGAAAAGGATATGCTTAAACATTCCCGGGCTCCATTATTATATCCTTACATTCGAATTTTAAATATACTGGTGGTGGGTTGTTTGAAAAATGACCAAGACATGTGGCAAATGTTTACTCTGGTGGTTATGGTTTATATTACCTACATATGTTATGTCCTTAAATGTTTTGTGTGTATTTTAATTTATTTATGTTTTCAAAAAACAAAAACAAATCACTAATTCCCCTAGATTTAGTACAAGAAACTAGTTCTAGACATAAATAGCTATTGTGTCACATTATTATTTTTTTGTTTACAATTTTATTTAAAACAAAAAATCCCCATTAATTTGGCAGCAAGAAGGTGGTCTCAATACCACAACCGAATCGATGACACGTGCCTTAATAACCGATGAAGTACGCACTGGTCATTCCATGGGTCCCGTACAATTAGGGTATGTATTTTCCGGCTATTTACAGTTTGCTAGTGCTGTGAGCGTTACTAACAATCAAGAAAAAAAGTTGAGGTTAATAACCAAATCAATTGGCCAAAAAATAACAAGTCTCACAAAATTCCGTACCAAAAAAAAAAAATGTTTTCTGGTTTTATCAAAATTTCTAAATTGTTTATTTATTTATATATTTTTATGTGTAACTGCTTCCATTAGATTTATGGAAAAATCAAACGAGCGTGAAGATTATTATCCATGGTTGGTACCATCAGCGTTAATTTGTTGTATCTATTCAAATGAAAAATGTCCATACATGCATACATACATAAGTCATTTGTCCACCTTTTGTTTTTTAATTTCCATTGTTTGCTAGTTGTCGTGTACTTTTTAATAAAAATGTGTAGAATGCTGGTCATTTCTCGTTTCCATTTTCAATTGTATTCAGTTAAAACAAAAAACAATCATTTCGTATGAGCATCATATTTTAATATTATTTTCAAAATTTGCCACACTATTTTCTCAAGTCTAAAGGTTTGTTGTCATCCATTAAAGTATATTTGAATGTCTGTCAGAAAAAGAAGAACTTGATTTAAAAATGATCTTTATAAAGTTATATATGATGTTCTATAAAACTCCTAAACAATTTTTAAACACTTTTGTAGTTAAAAGAATTCAAAGGGTGATCTATCAGTTCTCTTAACTTTCTTGTAACTGCAGAAGATCTTTTAAAATTCTTTTCTCTGTGGAGGATCTCTAAAGGTATTATGAGTTCATCAAAGTCATATCAAATTTTATCTGCATTCTAGAAGAAATTTGAAAGGGGAACCCTTAACTATCTATGGAATATTACTTCAAGGGTCTTATATTTTCATTTATGAGTTCATCAAAGTCATATCAAATTTCATCAGCTTTTTAGATCTGTCTGGTTACCCTAAAATTTGTTAGAAGTCGTCTACACAAATATCTGTAAAAGAGAGCGATTCGAGAGAGAAATTTTGACAGTTCTTGTACTGAACGGCCAAAACGTGTATAATATAAATAACGGGTTTAGACCATAGGTCTCTTTGGACCAAATCGTCCAAACGGCCAAAACGTGTCTAATCTAAATAACGAGTTTAGACCATAGGTTTCTTGGGACCAAATCCGTTCAGGACATTCGGATTCGATCAAGCGATGTCCGTCCATCCGCCTAGCTGGCTGGTGCGCTCAATAACATTCGAAGGGAGTATCCGATACATTCTAATATTATTGTCAAACTTAGATCGAATTCGAAGATGGGCAATATCGTTCCACTCCTTCTGATACCTCCCACACAAAATGTCAACATTTTCAAAGAAAATTATTTACTGCACAGAAAGAGAAAGTATAAACCGATTTTGTACCATCTTTGTAAATCCTAATGTTTGCATCAGTTCTAGGTTAGGTGCGAAAATGTACAATATCGGTCCACTCCATCAAGTAACTTCCCCACAAAGGGTCAAAACTTTGAGTAATTATAAGTCTCATAAATTAAGTGTGATTTAAGTGTTCGGTTGTCTTCAAATTACTCGCATCACAATATTTTTATTAACCCAAGGTCTGGTGAGAAGATGGTCCACTCCTTCTGGTACCTGCCCCAGAAATGGACAAAGATTTGAATAGCCAAAACGATCATAAAATCCATAATAAGCATCAGTTCTCTTCAAATTACACACACCACAATATTTGAATTAAGCCAAGGTCTGGCGTAAAATTGGGGTATATCAATCTGGTCTTTCTCCTCCACAAGGGGTCAATATTTTGAATTTTCATGGAGCGCATAAAACACGAAATTAGCATCCGATTCCATTTAGACTTGGCACATTTAAATACTTCCACAAACACAAGATCTGTTAAAAATATGGTAGAGTTCGGACCACTTCTTCAGGTACCTCCCGCACATAGGGTTCAAGATTTGTAAAAAACAAAACGCTCAAATAAATCGAAATATGCATTCAAAGGTCTTCAAATTTCACACATCCAAATTTTTTGTCCAACGCAGGATCTGTTGTGAAGGGGATGTATATCTGCCATCCCCTTCTGTTACCTCACCCTTAACCAGAAATCGGATATGAATATGTACTTTATAGAAATTTATGATTTAGTATAAAATTGTATATGAATGTTCGATTTCCTTCAAATTATTTTTATCTGTATTAGATGAATTATGAGAATGGAATACTGCGGTCCGCTGTATCTGTTACCTCACGCATATTTTACAAAAAATTTACACATATGACATATAAAGTATAAGTAGAATCCGATATAGTCCAAATCTGGTACGTTGTAATATTTTTATCAGTCTTATGTCAGATACGAATTGTTCAATATTACCTAAAGGGCTGCAAATGTGACAATTTTCTCTATTTATGCCATGGAGAGAAAACGCTCGTCATGTTGTGCCCTGTTTGATCAAACGCATAACAGTACGTGACATCCAACTAAATGCTCGATGTCTCGTCATGTCGGTCACACTCAAACCTATCGTCATAACATGTAATGACCAATAAAAGGGTATGTTGAATAGTGTGTCATACAAAAATGTTCTATCAAAAAAACAACAACAATTATGAAACAATTGCCAACGAAAAAGACACACACGTGATGAAGGCAAAGCGCAATCGCTACCTGCTTTTCCGATATGTGAAAAAAATTGTAATAAAGAATTTCTTGGCGAATACTAAAATATTAAAGGTATTTCTAATTGGTCCACACAAAATTTTCACATTTCGTGGTTATTGACGAAACAATTTAAAATGTTAATCCTTATAAAAAACAATAATTGCCTGAAAAATTTTCTTATTTTGATTATGATTTCGTAAATGTTTGCCTCCGGTAGTGATGTGTAAATGAGAATGAATGATACTGTAATTCACGTAACAACACTATATACTTCCATTGTTCAATTCTGTGCATATTCTGTTATTGAATGAGAGTCAAATCTCTGCCCACAGACTTTAATTTTAAAAGAACACTTTATGTAGATTGAAAATAGGCATACAATATTTTCCTCTTTTTTATGACCAAAATTTTATGATAATCACTAACAAATTGGGATTGTTCAGTAAATATTTCATTTTTTCTATTCATTTGTTGATGTCTATGCACATTTTGTTATTGAACTCGCGGTGTTTGTTACTTCAAAAACACACCCTCACCGTCGAAAGTAACACACACACACACTCTCAATATTTAAGCACACGTACACAAATGACACACAATTTGACGATGACACGGTTCGATGTGATCGTTGACACCCTGCATTTATGGAGAACACCATGCAAATATTCGAGTCAGCCATGTCACGATCGAACCTTAGACAATGGCACACATGAATCAAAATGGGGGATGTTGTTGGTTGTCATTGCCTATCAAATACATAGCGCATGATTGAATAGACAAAGTCAGTGTGTCGAAAAAAGCATAATTCATACAATTCGTCTTGTGCAGGCCTTTAATATTACCCAACTGCTTCGGAACCTGCTCCATAAAGGGTCAACAGTTTAAATAATCATTACTCAAGGCTGGGGGTATAAATCTCTGTCGGCAATACCGATTTATGCTATATCACTTGTTTTTTATACATAAAGCGCCAAAACAGAAATGCTCAGCAACAAGCTCAGAAAGCAAACAACTTATCAAAATCCCCAGCTCCATGCCTCTTTTTGCAAAAGAGAATACAACTACCTTACTCTCTCAGAAAGTTGTCTCAACAAAATTCCTACATGAAAAGTAACCAGACAGACATAGTACTGTTGACGAACTATTTTTTCAATTTCCGGGAACATCAAATTACCGGGTAATAGGCATATTTAAGGTCTATGTGAAGACTCGAATGAGAATTTTTTAAAAATGTAATTTTATAAATCTTATATTTTACGAACAACTCGCAGGATATCACGTGGGCCTCATATTTCACACAAACTTCTTTTTCACCTCAAAAGTTTTTTATGTATGTTTGTTTGTAATCCTTTCTAAAGTTCCATTCCAATTTTACATCAATCTACGCAATGAGAATAGTAATGTTTTCATCTACTAATGTTTTTTTTCTAATATTTATCCACACACATACATATATATGTTGATACATCCTCTCCATATGACACCAACTAATACGTCTTTTATTTTTCTGGAAACAACAGTTTTGTGGCTGGCGTTATATCACGAGAGAAATTGCCGGCTTTTGAGCGTATGTTATGGCGTGCTTGCCGTGGCAATGTTTTCCTAAGACAAGCCATGATTGAATCTCCTTTGGAGGATCCATCAAATGTAAGGATAATAGAATACACATTTGAATCATTATTTTTATTATTTTTTAATAAATTACCCTTTGCTTTGCTTGCAGGGCGATCAAGTCTACAAGTCGGTGTTCATCATCTTCTTCCAAGGTGATCAATTGAAAACACGTGTCAAGAAGATCTGTGAAGGTTTCCGGGCAACTCTCTATCCCTGTCCCGAGGCACCAGCCGATCGTCGTGAAATGGCAATGGGTGTAATGACACGCATTGAAGATTTGAACACGGTTTTGGGCCAAACTCAAGATCATCGTCACCGTGTTTTGGTGGCAGCTGCTAAAAATTTGAAAAATTGGTTTGTCAAGGTTCGCAAAATCAAGGCCATTTATCATACACTGAACCTCTTCAATTTGGATGTAACACAAAAGTGTTTGATTGCCGAGTGTTGGGTGCCCGTACTGGACATTGAGACCATTCAGCTGGCATTGCGTCGTGGTACCGAGAGATCGGGTTCTTCTGTACCGCCTATTTTGAATCGCATGCAGACATTTGAAAATCCCCCCACCTATAATCGCACCAATAAATTTACCAAAGCTTTTCAGGCTCTAATCGATGCCTATGGTGTGGCCACGTATCGCGAAATGAATCCAGCTCCGTATACCATTATTACGTTCCCGTTTTTGTTTGCCGTGATGTTTGGTGATTTGGGCCATGGTGCCATTATGGCCCTGTTCGGTCTGTGGATGATACGCAAGGAAAAAGGCTTGGCAGCCCAAAAGACGGACAATGAAATTTGGAATATCTTTTTTGGCGGTCGTTACATTATCTTCTTAATGGGTGTATTCTCCATGTATACGGGTCTAATTTACAATGACATCTTTTCGAAATCCCTCAACATATTTGGCTCACATTGGGAGGTGAATTACAACAAGTCGACGGTATTGGAAAATAAATATCTACAATTGAATCCGGAGACAAGCGATTATTTGGGTACACCGTACCCGTTCGGCATGGATCCCATATGGCAGGTGGCCGGAGCCAATAAGATTATATTCCAGAATGCGTACAAAATGAAAATTTCCATTATATTCGGTGTGATCCATATGATCTTTGGTGTCGCCATGTCCTACCACAACCACACATATTTCAAGAATCGTTTGTCACTGATCTTTGAGTTTATTCCTCAATTGATTTTCTTGTTGTTTTTGTTCTTCTACATGGTTTTGTTGATGTTCATTAAATGGAATCGCTATGCTGCTACCAATAAACGTAAGTTGTGGAGGAATTGTTTTTTGGTTATTTTAATACATTTATTTTTATCTGCAGCACCTTATTCGGCTTCTTGTGCTCCATCGATTTTGATTACATTCATTGACATGGTCTTGTTTAATACTCCGAAACCGGTTCCGGAGGGTTGTGAAGTTTATATGTTTGGCGGCCAGCATTTCTTCCAGGTGGTTTTCGTACTTGTGGCATTGTCTTGCATTCCTGTTATGCTCTTGGGCAAACCCCTGCAGATAATGAAGCAACGCAAACATGCCAATGTAAGTTCGTGCATATATATATTTTAAGACACATTTAAGAACTTTCTTCATCACATTTCATGGATCACGCCACTGCTTTTTGTTTTTTAATTCGCCCATTCATGTCATTCATTTCTTGAAACAAAAGAGGCAATTTATTAAATCTGCAAAATTTCTTTATCTTTTTTAACATTTCTTAACGTATAACAAATACTTATAGGAAGAGGTTAGTTCTTTGTGGTCCATAACAATATTTTAATAGAATAAATTTTAGAAATCGATCTTAAAGTATTTTGTAAAATTGAATATTTATTTTGCTTAATTTTCTAGGTCCAACCAATAACCGGTAGTGATGCTGAAGTTGGTATGTCTAACGGGCAACCAGCTGCCCATGGTGCTGGTGGTCACCACGATGAGGAAGAAATGTCGGAAATATTCATCCATCAAGGAATTCATACCATTGAATATGTCCTCGGCTCTGTCTCACACACTGCATCCTATTTGCGTTTGTGGGCCTTGTCGCTGGCTCATGCCCGTAAGTATTGCACATTTTTCATATTATAACCGTTATTCTTCCACACCAGACCTTGGGCCAATAAAAATATTGTGATGTGTGTAATTTGAAGGGAACCCGATGCTTATTTCAAATTTTATGTTCGTTTTTGTTATTAAAAACTTGGATCCTTTGTGGGGGAGGTACCAGAAGGAATGATCCGATCGCTACCATATTTATAACGGATCTTGTGTTTATGTAAATATTGAGATGCGCCAAGTCTGAATGCAATCGGATGTTAATTTGATGTTTTTAATGAGCTTCATGAGTATTCAAAAATTTTACCCTTTGTGGGGAAGGTATCAGAAGGAGTGGACCGATATATTCCATCTACACACCAGACCTTGGGTTAATGAAAATATTGTGATGTGTGTAATTTGAAGACGATCGGACTCTTACATCACATTTTAAAAGAGTTATAGTTATTCAAAATTTTGACCCTTTGTGGGGGAGGTTCTGGATGGAGTGGACCGATATTGTCAATTTTCGCACCTGATATAGCACTGATAGAAATATTAGAATTTGCAAAGTTGGAGCAAAATCGGATTATTCTTTCCCTTTCTGTGTAGTAAATTATTTTCTTTGAAAATTTTGATATTTTGTGAGGGAGGTATCAGAATGAGTGGACAAATATTGTCCATCTCCCATCTTTGAATTTCATTCTGTCCAATGGCCAGTCTCAGTTTCTTTTTTAAATTTTATTGAATGAAAGCAAATGATAGCGGAAATAGCATCAAATTTTAGAATAATTTTAGATTTGTTCGAATTGGTCGCCTTTGGCACGAATTATGACCTTCAATCGGCCAATGAAACCGTCACAAACTGCCCGAATGTTGCTCTGCGGTATATTGGAACATTCGCGGCGAAGAGCTTGCTTGAGGTGGTCAACACTTTGGTATTTTTTAGTTCCAACCTTGCTTTCCAAAATACTCCAGACACAATAGTCCAACGGATTGGTATGCCGAGATTTTGGTGGCCAACCGAAGGTGCGCATTTTCAGCTGACCTCTTTGGCAAGTAAACACGATCATTTTGTTTGTTTACAAACAGCTGGACATCGAATGTTTTCTCATCGGAGAAAACGAAATTCATCAGTTTACCACTTTCGGTCATGCGGAGCATCTCTTTAGCTCTTTTGAGTCTATTTTCTTTCCGTTGCGGTGTAAGTTCTTGTTTTTTTTTTTTTTGGAATATAAATGGCTTTACCTATATTGGTAGGTTTCAATCATGTCGCTTCTTTACTTTTCGAACCATTTCTGCTGATGTTGCTGTTTTCTTCCGTCCACTTCCTTGACGTCGGGCTACGCTACCCGCGATGGTACGAGACACAAAAGATTTATTCACATTTAAATGCTGGAGTGCCCTTACGATAGTTTCCAGCTAAATATATAGGATAGAAATAGAATAATAACTTTTTCTGGAAAATCCTCACCAAAATTTTTTTACGCTTGTAAACAATATTGGAATAATTTTAACAGCTGCCGGATCAGTGACAGCAGTCTGAAGTTGGTTGCAGTTTTTTCATCACACCCTGTACATTAATATATTTTCTTTTATGTATATTTTAGAACTTGCTGAAGTCTTGTGGAACATGGTATTGTCGATTGGCTTGAAACAGGAAGGCTGGTTCGGAGGCATTATGCTGACAATTGTGTTTGCTTTCTGGGCTATTTTGACTGTTGGCATTTTAGTGCTGATGGAAGGTTTATCAGCATTTTTGCATACATTACGTTTGCATTGGTAAGACAATCGATTGGTGTTTGTATTTATAAAAAATATTAATTCATTTGTTTGTCTCCTTCTAGGGTTGAGTTCCAAAGTAAATTTTACCAAGGAACCGGCTATGCATTCCAACCCTTCTCATTCGATGCCATCATTGAGAATGGCAGTGCTGCCAGTTCAGCAGAAAATGAGTAAATTGAAAAAATTAATAAAAACACCGATAAACAAATAATAATTGAAAGTTGAAACCAATAATTATATTACAACAACTTATACAAGAGCAGTAACTACACACATATATACAACAATATAATATTATTATTAGTATGATATAGCAAACTTTGAGTCTCATATATAATCTTTAAAACAAAAAAACAAAAGAAAAACAAATATTCAATGAATTTATTACAAATACATAAAGAAGAATTTATAGTAGCTAAATGAAAACACAAACTCTTTAATGTTAAATGTTTACTTCATAAAATAAAAGATTAACAAATTTATATAAATATCCATCTCTATGGTATCTAGATATATTGTATTCGTAATTATCTTTAACAAAATAAACACAACAACATCATATATGCATAAAAATGTCATCCAACAAAATATACATCAGATATTTCCTGTATTGTTTGCAAAATAAATAATAATAATAAACATCATTCTACAACATCCGAACATAAAAAAACATAGAAAATTAAACGCATCATACCGCATAGCATGAGATTACTAAGGGTAACTAGTTAAACAATTTACACATACAATATATAATTATAGTCTACTTAAGTGGAACAAGAAAAGTAACGTTTTTCTTCAAAATAGAGAAATTTAATAATAAAAAAAAAGTTATATAGTTAAAAAGAAATTTCGATATGAAATACAATAACCAAATCAACTACAACTACAACAATCATATTTATTAATTACAATAACAATAACCTTATTAAAATATACCTATTAACAATTCAAATAAAACATTACATTTATTTAATTATCAAACTATACTACTAAATTTATATTAATTATATAATTGTTTCATGACATTGCACGTATGAAATACTTTACCAGTATGTAGTAAATGTTGCTTTCCAAAAAAAAAAACAAATATTCATATATATATGATAAAATGCTTTAATAATATTTAAAATTTAAAGAATAACATTGAAATAATAAATAAAATAAATGCTTGGAATAGTAAATATTCCTTATCAAAGCCCAGAAATTGTTGTCGTTTTATTTTTGTCATTTAATTTCAATTAGATTGGTGTACCATCTGACATTTGATGGTCGATTCAACATCAAAAGAGGTGGACTCAAAGAACGAAATGGTTCCAGACATCAATGGATGCATCATTAAGAATGTTAAGATCTGGCCTCGTATGATTATTGGTCAAGAAGCATTTATGTGCCTTCTTAGGTAGAAAAATTCTCCCCCATATTCTCTCGCAAGCATTAAAAATGAGGAGGGAAGAATAAAAACACGAAAATACTTTAAAATTCACTGTTGTCTTAAGGAGACATCTTGTTACTATACAGGGTGGGATGAAAAAACTGCAACCAAATTCAGATTACTGTCATTTCTAAGCCACTAGACCTACAGCTGTTAAAATTATTCCAGTGACATGTCATTATATTGTTTGCAAGCGTATAAAAGCCCTTTGGTGAGAATTTTCCAGAAAAAAAAGTTATTCGTGATGGAATTCAAGCGTGATTGGATGATTTCTCTATATTTGGCTAGAAAACCACAAGTTGGTATTGTTAGAGCACTCCAGCATTAAAATGTGAATAAATCTTTTGTGTCTAGTACCATCGCTCGTTACCATGATACTGGTAGCGTAGCCCGACGTCAAGGAAGTGGACGGAAGAAAACAGCAACGTCAGTAGAAATGGTTCGAAAAGAAAAGAAGCGACTTGATCGAGACCCCCTGTCGCAGTGGCCGAAAAATGGCTCGTGAACTGAACATATCGCAATATTCCATTTGGAAAAGATTCAAAAATGAGCTCGGGGTAAAGCCATTGAAATTCCAAAAAGTCCAAGAACTTACACCGCAACAGAAAGAAAATAGACTCAAAAGAGCTAAAGAGTTGCTTCGCTTTGCCGAAAGTGGTGAACTGCCGAATTTGGTTTTCTCCGATGAGAAAACATTCGTTGTCCAGTAGTTTGTAAACAAACAAAATGATCGTGTTTACTTGCCAAATATGTCAGCTGAAAATGTGCACCTTCGGTTGGCCACCAGGACTCAAGCGACGGCCATGGTGAGGGTGTGGGGTCGAATATTATCGCGAAAATATTCTGGAGGGTGTATTAAAGCCTTGGGCGCGCAAACATTTTGGCCGCAGACCTTGGACATTCCAACAGGACTCAGCACCATCGCACTCAGCACGTGCCACACAAGAATGGTTACAAAATGAGGTTCCTCGCTTCATTTCCAGCGCACAATGGCCACCAAAATCTGGGCCAAAATACCGCAGAGCAACATTCGGGCAGCGTGTGACGGTTTCATTGGCCGTTTGAAGGCCATAATTCGTGTCAAACGTGACCAATTCGAACAAATCTAAACTTATTCTAAAATTGTCACATTTTTTGCTTTCGTTAGATAAAATTTAAAAATTATGGCGTTTGACTTTGTTGCAGAGAAAGGATTTTCCGTTTTTGCTCGAACTTTGCAAATCCTAATATTTGTATCAGTGCTAGGTCAGGTGCGAAAATAGAAAATATCGGTCCCCTCCATCAAGTACCTTCCCCACAAACTGTCAAAATTTTGAATAATTATAACTCTTATAAAATGTTATGCAAGTTTCCGATTGTCTTCGAATTACACACATCACAATATTTTTATTAATCCGAGGTCTGATGTGAAGATGGAATATATCGGTCCACTCCTTCTGGTACCACCCCAACAAGGGTCAAAATTGTTTACATCAAGGACATTTAGATTGAAAGTTTTGTTAGACGAAAAAGGGCTTCTTTTCAACTGGTTTGGAAATGTATTTCAGGCCTTTGAAATACATCAATTAGGGCGCTACTATTATGTGAGATTTCACAAAATCTTCTTTCCTAGTATAATTGATTTATTGAAATAACTTTAAATACAAACATGTTAAAATAATTCAAATTAACTACCTCCCAGGCAATTATATTGCATAACTATACATACATACATATATTTATTTAATTAACTAATAAATTATCCATAAATTCTACAAATTTATCCATATTCTTTCCGGGCTCATAGGTATTCTGTTTGTCCACAAGTACACTTTCCAACGCTGTCTTCAGCTCATTGACAGTACAACACTGCAGATAGCCCTCCTTTTTCATGTGCAAAGCCAATTCCTGTTGATGATTATTCATCAATTGGTCATTGATGACCAAAACGCCCAGTTTGCGGGCAGTTAAAATATCCAAGCAAGTGCCAGCGCCTGCATGTCCCACAACCAAATCTGAATTAATAATGTCCATACGTTTTGGCTCGATTTTAAAATCATACTGTTCCACTTGTATGCCATGCTTTGCTGCTATTGCCGCCTCATCAACTTTGTTACCTTTGCCCACCTGAAGGATCAGATGTTTACAACCTTTCTTTTTCAGAAGCTGCAAAATGTCATCGCTGGTCATTTCCCTGATGAGGGAATCGAACTTTGTGCTTCCCACAGTAACATAGACAGTTGTGATTGGTGGTGTCATTGGGAATGTTTTAAGTGTATATTTTTCCAACTTTTCCAAGATTGTCTTGATCAGTCGTTCTCTGAAATGCTCACGTCGGTGTTCAGGAGTTGATTGTCGTTGGAAACAAAAACGAAACGAATATGGAGGCTACAAAGGAATTCCCGATAAAAAATAAACAGAAAGCAAAGACTCCGGGTACTCTGTTGTTTACGAATGAGTGTAATGCATAACGCCCGGGTACTCTGTTGTTTACGAATGAGACATGAGAAAATTGAACATCTTCACTAAAAGAGCCCGGAACTAGTTCGTTGCGAGCGTTGGAAACAAAAATGAAAAACGTCCCAACGAAACGAATATGAAGGCCACAAAGGAATACCCGATAAAAAATAAACAGAAAGCAAAGACTCCGGGTACTCTGTTGTTTACGAATGAGACATGAGAAAATTGAACATCTTCACTAAAGAGCGCGGAACTAGTTGCTACTATAGACTTGGGTAAAACCGAGTACTCGACGAGATAGTTCATCTTACTTCACTCACTGGTTTTTCAAATTCCTGTTCAAATCTGATTTTTTCTGTAATTTATCTTGTCAAATATAATGGCAAAGAAAACAGGTTCCCATCTCTGATTTGTGGATGTACAATAGATTTCTCAATAAACATTGACAATTGTACAATAAGGAGGTAGAACCATGGTACAATGAAGAGAAGGTAGGTCAACTTTGAAAAAATTGCAATTATAGAGGTCTACCTCTTTGGCTTGTAATGTGAGAATTAGTATCAAAACAATAAAAAATCAAACAACTTGTTGCATTTATTTTGAATAAATAATTGAAAACCGCGAAAACTAAATGAAAGGTCAACACTCATTTTCAAAACCAGGTTCTATATATCTCTAAAGGATTATTTCTCTACAAAAACTCTAGATTTTGTCGATGCATACGATGAAATAAACATTTTGAAAACATTCGAAGTTGAATGTTTTCTGAACAATTTTTTGTTATTGAAAAGAAAACGCATACATAAACAATTACATAATTATTAAGCCAAGAAAATAAAAAAATTGAAATCATATGGTATCATAGCCCTACCTTGATATCATTGTACCATGGGTAGAACTGCTTCGTAAAACTACAGAAATGCAGCCCTGATGTTATACCCGTTTCCTGTTGAATTTGCATGCCAACAAGTTGTTTTCATTTATCCAATATTTTTCCAAATTTTTTAAATCAAATAAAATCAAAAATATAATCCAAACTGTTCAATTTTTCATTTTAGTACTTAAATGCAAAGCAGCTGATTGCCAGAGAGTAAATGATATGGCAACTTCAAATGTCAAATGCCGTTATGTCCGTTATTTTCAATGAATATTTGAAAGGGCTTGTTGAATTTAGGGCTTGTTACTGTATAACGATGCAAAGGTAAATGCGAAAGAAATTCACCATTTTATGCCATGTTTACGTTAGAACTTTTTGTAGGGTTAACCTACTTTGAGAGGATATATTTGAAGTAAAAGTAATGGATATGACAATTTAAATCCAAATCCAGTGGGTTAACCCTCATATATATAAACGTACTATTAAATTGATTTTCAAAACCCGATGTACCGTAGTGAAATACTCAACTTTCCTACCGTGGTAAAATAGGTATAACTTGATATTGTTCAGGAATTGTCCAGCAAGGACAATGTGTCCGCCATAAAATGAAACCCACAAGAATTAAAAAACTTGCCGAAAACGAATCAATTCAAAATTTGTTAAAAATTTTCCTCTCCAATCGCTCTCTTTGCAGGTTTTAACAGAAGAACAATTTGCAACAGTTGTTACACATTTTTGGGTAACCAGACAGCTATTGTCTTCTTGGCATGGTATAATTATTAGAGGGGTAAATTTCATTTGATAAGGTCAAACGTGTCTCATTGAAATCACGGGTTAGACCCTAGGTCTCTTTGGACCAAACCCGTTTCAGGACATTTGGAGTCGGTCCACTCCTTCTGGTACCTCCCACACAATATGTCAACATTTTCAAAGAAAATAATTTACTCACAGAAAGAGTAATCCGATTTTGCTTCAACTTTGAGAATTATTATAATAACCTCCGAATAACGTCGTATAAGAAAACATATAAAAATCTAATCATATTTGAAAAAAAAAAATATTTCTTAAAATTAAATGTAAATAGTCGTTATAGTCCAAATCTGGCACGTTGTAATATTTATATCCGTCTTAGGTCAGATAGGAATTGTTCAATATTGGCTAACAGCTTCGGAACCTCCCCCATAAAGAGCCAACAAATTGAATAATCATAACTTAAGGCCGGGGGGTATACATCTTTCGGCAAAACCAACTGATACCAATTTACTTGTTTTTGGCACATTTTTGTTTTGCCATTGGAATGACCCGCATATTACTCAGTCGAGTGTCAGCTATCCTCAAGCTTTTCCCCTTATTTCATGCTTCATTTAACATGTTGTTGAAGGTTTTCATCGAAGCAGCCGCAATCGGTGGTCGTAACACATGTTTGATAACACAATATCATCGTTGTTTTATGTTGTGTTATGTTCGTGCATTCCATGTGCAAAAGTTTGTAACACTAGGGCATTCAATTATAGATAATTTTTGTTTGTAATTATTTTTCTTAAATGTTTAAAAAATCATATATATTGTTGTATATTTATACAAATATATTAATAATATTAAAATAGATCAAATTGTCAAATTTTTGTATGTGACATGTATTCCTTTGTCTCGTGCAGTGGCATCCCTACACAACTTGTGTGGTCGAGAGTTTTATGTTTCGACACGCAACTGGTTACAGTGGGAGATATTTGACAATAACAACACACAAGGAAATGTAGCGCTTTTGACTTCCAAATATTATATGACTGTAACTGCGGCACGAAAACATCGGTAATACTTTAAAAACAACTATAATCGTCTGGCACTGTTAAAATACTGGGATTTTATGCTTTTCTATTTTTTCGATATCATGAAGGGAAAATCGGTTATCGTAGTTAAAAGTTTTACATTCTTGCAATTCAATTATTTATGGCGAATTTTTTGATTTACGGCAAACGGAATAATAAAATAAATATTTTCTCTACACCATTTGTTGGGGTCGCAGACCACAGATAATGCATCAGTTGTCCTGCACTGGTTCTTATTAGTGGACTGTTCCAGAACTGCAAGAATGTAAAATTTTTAACTACGACATCGACATTACTTTTATGATATCGAAAAAAAAAAATGTAGAAATAGTAGATTCTTGCAGGTTCTGGAACAGAGCATAGGCGAACACTCTTAAGCTGGGAATACATAAAGCGCTTATCTGGCTGTCTTAAGTCATCGGCTGGCTTCTTCAGAAATGAACAAAGGAGCCTACGTCTAAAATCGAACTAAGTCAACCTGCAACTCCTTTGTTCATCTACGAAGAAGCCAGCCGATGACTTAAGCCAGCCAAATATGCTCTTTATGTATGTCAAGCCTTAGGCGGCAATAAATGTGAATATTCTGGACGCTGACAAATTCGATCAGAACGGAGCTCAAAATTACGATAGAAAACTGTAGCCACCACATTTGCACTGATGGTTCAAATATTGAAAAGGGACCAATAACTTGGGGGTTTACACCCAAAAGGAAATTTATGACCTATTCCAGAACCTGCAATAATCTACTAGTTTTGTAAATTTGTATACCCTTCACCATACATAGTATGGATGGTGTATTGAGTACAGAGTACAGGGTGAGATAAAAAAACTGCAACCAACTTCAGACTGTTGTCATTTTAAAGCTACTCGTCCGACAGTTGTTCAAATTATTCCAGCGTACAAAAGCAGAATAAGAGTTATTCGCGATGGAATTCAAGCGTGATTGTATGATTTCTTTATATTTGGCTGGAAAACCACAAGTGGCTATCGTTGATCGAAACCCGGGTCGCAGTGGTCGAAAAATGCCTCATGAGCTGAACATATCGCAATATTCCATTCGGCAAATATTGAAAAATGAGCTCAAGGTAAAGCCATTGAAATTCCAAAAAGTGCAAGAACTTATACCACAACAGAAATGAAAATAGACTCAAAAGAGCTAAGCAGATGCTTAGCTTGGCCGATAGTGGTGAACTGCCGAATTTGGTTTTCTCCGATGAGAAAACATTCGTTGTCCAGCAATTTGAAAACAAAGAAAATAATCGTGTTTAAATGCCAAAGAGGTCACCTGAAAATGTGCACCTTCGGTTGGCCACCAGAACTCAAGCGCCGGTCATGGTGATGGCATCAGAATAAATGCCGAATATTATCGCAAAAGTATTCTGGAGGGTGTATTAAAGCCTTGGGCACGCAAACATTTTGGCGGCAGACCTTGGTCATTTCAACAGGACTTGGCACGCGCCACCCAAGAATGGTTACACAATGAGGTTCCTCGCTTCATTTCCAGCGCGTAGTAGCCACCATTATTTCAGGATACCAATCCGTTGGACTATTGTGTCTGGAGTATTTTGGAAAGTGAGGTTAACACTAAAAAATACAAAAGTTTCGATCACCTCAAGCAAGCGCTTCGCCGTTTGAAGGCCATAATTCGTGCCAAAGGATCGAACAAATTCTGAATTATTCTAAAATTTGATGCTATTTCCGACATTTTTTGCTTTCATTCAATAATAATTAATTTACATTTTTTTAATTTTATTGAATGAAAGCAAAAAATGTCGGAAATACTTATATCCCCCATATAACGGTACCCCCCGATATTCGATATTTTGAAGAGTTTAGTCACATTTTTCAATGGAATTGTATGAAAATCTACATTAGGAGTTCCTTCCGAGTACTTTGCCCAATAGAAAAGAATTGTCTATGTAGGTCCACGGTGTCGTATAGCCCCCATACAACGGAATCCCCGATATTCGGTATTTTGATGATTTTAGCCACATTTTTCAATGAAATTAAGACAAGGAGTTCCTTCTGTATACTTTAGCCCCTGGAAGAGAATTGTCTATATACGATATCTTATAGCCCCCATATAACCTTAACCCGATTTTTTGATGATTTCAGACAAAATTTTCAATTGAATTTTCGTAAAATCCCCACAAGGTGTTCCTTCTGAGTAGTTTATCCCTAGAAGAGAATTGTCTACCTAGCTACTTGTTTTTATGTTCATTCCGTCAAAGTCGCCCATTGTGCCGCCATCATCTCTGGAAGAGCTTCATTGATGTGATGGTCTTTGGCAAAAATTTCTGCTATCAGTTGTTTGCCGGCCTTTGAATAAAACAGTTCGTTTCGGAAAGAAAAGGAAACTAAAAAAATCGTAATAAAAGTGGTTCCCCATCTGTCGATGTTAGTCGTATTGGCGGAATTTTTGTCAAAGTCGTTTTTTGTTTTCTTCTAATACTCTCTGCTGCTGTGAAAGTGACAAAGGCATCGCATTTTGTGTGGAATCAGAGTGTATGTATGTGTGTGTGTGTGTTGTTTGTTGTTTCTGTTGTCATGTCTATGAAAGAAGAATTTTGAGTGTTCAAATAATCGTCATCGTCACCATATTCATGGAGGAGATGCGAAACTAAACGGGAAATTTTCGATGTCGCCCGCCGCCTTCATCTCAATCTCATTGAACACCGAAAACATACTCTGGCGTACCGAACACATTATTCTCACGTCCAATAATAATAATAATAAAAACAACAACAAATAAAAAGAAAAACAAAAAGAAAAATTAAAACAAAAACAAAAAAATTTAACAACAAACAAAAAAGTAATAAAAAACAAATAATATAGCGTTGCTCTGCCTCTGCTTTTTCGGGAGGGCTGCTGCGACGTTGCTCCATTGGCTCTTAGTGGTTTGTGAATGATGTCCATTGTATTAGGTGCTGCTGGATGGGTGGATGGATGCTGTGGCACCCACCGGTAAATGGGTAAATGCGTTGCCGCTCCCACTCTTTTAATCATTTGTTTACATTCTCGGCCAGTGGTTGCTCTGCTGGTGGCGATGGTGATGATGATGATGTTGTTGCTGATGATGATGATGATGATAATAATGGTGGTAAAACTGGGGTAGCCGTTGCCGTGGTGGTGATGGAGCGCTTTGATTCAATTACCTTGCGGCCAAACGCAACGGTTGTCAGTAGTCGTGGTCGTTGCTTGGTATTCTTATTTGTACTTGGCGTTAGCGCTTATTCGCTGGAGGCAACCGATGATGATGATGATGGCCATGCTTATGCTGCTACGATTTCACAGGTTTGCTGTTCGCACGTCCGCAGGGTCTGTCAGTAATGACATAAATTTAATAAGATTCAATCTGGTGCAAAGTGTTGATGACTTTTTAATTTTCCACTATAAATCGAGTACGCTTGACACCCCCCCCCACCGCCCGGCTGCTCCATTGCCCAAAGGCAGTATTCGGAGTCCAATAATAAAAAATGTGCGTATTTTTGAGTTGAATTTCTAAGAAAGAATAAAATCATCGCAAAAAACTGAATCTGAAGGTAAAAAAGAACCATCGACGTAAGCATCTGAAATTGGTATGTTGAAATATTTATTGCTTTTGGCGTTTTCCAAACTTTGTTTTTTTTTTTCGTTTGAAGTTCAAAGACTCGAGTGTTTCATTTGTTTGTTGATTGCAAATTGTGGTTTTCAGTTTTATTTTTTTTTATGAAATTCAAATGTGAAGATTGGCAAATTAGTGAATTTATGTTATATATTAAAAGAAATGTTTTTGTTTTAACTAATTAAATTAACACCTTGTTTCTGCACACCCTACAGCTCTATGAGGTGTGGCTACTTTTTGTGAGTTTGTTGATGCCTCAAAATTTAAAAAGTTCAATATTTTAATCTGCCTATCTTCAGAAATTTATTGGACCTATTTATGCCAACACTTTATAATGCGAAAAAAACTGTGTTAAAGGAAACAAGTAAGAAAGCAGTAAGTTCGGCCGGGCCGAACTTTGAATACACTCCACCATTTCGAACGAATTAGGAATTTTTCAAAAAAAAAAAAAAAAAAAAAACAAATAATATATAGACAAATTTATGTCTGGGGTAAAGTACTCACAAAGAACTCCTTGTGCAGAATTTCAGAGAATTCCGTTGAAAAATATGGCTAAAATCATCAAAATACCGATTATGGGGGGTACCGTTATATGGGGGCTACACGATATCGTGGACTTATATAGATACTTATCTTCCAGGGGGTAAAGTACTCACAATGAACTACTTGTGTGGAATTTCGGACAATTCCATTGAAAAATGTGGCTAAAATCATCAAAATAACGAATATCGGAGGGTACCATTATATGGGGGCTATACGATATCGTGGACCTAATACGATACTTATCTTTCAGAGGACAAAGTGCTCACAAAGAACTCCTTGTGTGGATTTTCAGACAATTCCATTTGAAAATGTGGCTAAAAGCATTAGAAAACCCGAATATCGGGCGGTGCCGTTACATGGGGGATGTACGATATCGTGGACCCATATAGACAATCAGGAGGTAAAATGCTCACAAAAAACTTCTGGTGTTGAATCTCAGAATGACCCAATTTCCCGACGAGGACGAATAACCAGTGTGGGGTCGGCGGTAGGGAAACTGCATGGAAAATGCTGAATTGCACAAAAACCATAATACCTGAGTTTTTGGGGCGGGGAAAGCCTCGAGGAGTACTCTCTAAGCATATATGACTTATATTCCCAAATGATTTCAGATAGCTGCGTCATTGGGCGGATACTCAAATGAAAGGTCTCGAGGAGTACTGTCTAAGTATATATGCCTTTTATTCCCAAATGATTACAGATAATCGAATTTTTCCGATTTTCTAACCAAAGTGGGGTTGGCGGTAGGGAAACTGCATGGAAAATTCTAAATTGCACAAAAACCATAATAACTTAGTCTTTAGTGCGGGTTCTCAAATAAAAGGACTCGAGGAGTACTGTCTAAGTATATATGTCTTATATATGCCCGATCTCGATAAAATTTGACAGAGGTATTTTCAAGTTGTATCCGATGTCCGGTATCAAATGTCATTGTTGAGAAGTGCACATCACACATGTGATGGCGATAACACCAAATCGGAAAAATCATATATATAGGAGCTATAGCTATATCTGAACGGATTGTCAACATGTTTAAAGTACTTGTTTCTACGATGAATTCAGTCGGAATTGCCAACATTCAGATAATTTGGGCTGATATCGGCCATTTGGTGCGCAATTAACCCGAAATCGGTTGAAGATATATATGTGAGCTATATCCAAATATGAACCGGTCTTTATACAATTTAGCAAAGGTATTTCTGGGCTGTGTCTGCTATCTGGTACCAAATATCTTTTTTGTGGGCTGCATATTACGAATTTAAGGGACTTAAACACCAAATCGGACGACATACACAGTGAGAGTTAAAAAAATCTGCACCAAAGCCAAACGCCATATTTTTTACTTTTTTTTTTTCAAAATTTTATAAATGAAGCAAAAAAGGTCGCAAATAACATCAAATTTTAGAATAAGTAAAAAATTTTTTCGAATTGTTCACTTTTGGCACGAATTATGGCCTTCAAATGGCCAATGAAACCGTCACACGCTGCCCGAATGTTGCTCTGCGGTATTTTGGCCCATTCCCAGCGAAGCGCTTGCTTGAGGTGATCGACACTTTGGTATTTTTTAGTGCCAACCTTGTCCAACGAATTGGTATCCGGAGATTTTGGTGGCCATTGTGCGCTGGAAATGAAGCGAGGAACATCATTTTGTAACCATTCTTGGTTGGCATGTGCTGAGTGCGATGGTACTGAGTCCTGTTGGAATGTCCAAGGTCTGCAGCCAAAATGTTTGCCCAAGGCCCTAATACACCCTCCAGAATATTTTCGCGATAATATTCGGCATTTATTCAGATGTCACGGTCGATTAAAATGAAAGGAGAGCGAATATTAGGATTTGCAAAGTTGGAGCAAAATCGGGTTATCCTTTCTCTTTCTGTGCAGTATTTTTTTTTTTTTTTTTTGAAAATTTCGACTTTTTGTGAAAGAGGTACCAGAAGGAGTGGGTCGATAATGCCTCTATTGTTTTGCCATGACAATCGTTGATTTTTTAATACAATCTTATATTGATTTTTTTTCCTTTGATATTAGAACGCATGTAAATGCATAAGTTTTTAGATTCTGCAGAACAGATTTTCTTCAACAGAATTATCATGTCCATTGATTCTTACGCTACATTAATTCATAAGTACTGGCAAAATATGTTCTGTTTCTAAATAGCATTTATCTAAAATATAATAACCAAAACGGGTTAATTGCATTATTTATTTGCACAATTTTTTTTTGCATATTCCTTAATGGAATATTAGAACAATTATTGTATTTTCATTTAATCTTTTGCAAAATCAAAACAAAAAATGGCGTGCAAAAAAAAAAAACAAGTAAAAAAACATTAAGTTCGGCCGGGCCAAACTTTTAATACCCTCCACCCTAGGGTAAAAGAACATTAGAAAAAATGTGGCAAAAAACATTAAAATGCCGAATATCGGGAGGTACCGTTATATAGGGGCTACACCAACACGTGCACCTATAATTACAATGTTTCGCCACACGAGCTAGGACCCATTATGACCCACAAATACCAACTTTTACACAAATCAGTGAAAAAATGTGGCATAAACCATCAAAATACCGAATATCGGGAGGTACCGTTATATGGGGACTATACCAGAACGTGGACCTATACATGCAATGTTTTGCTACACGCTCAGGGAACCGTTGTGACCTACAAATACCAATTTTCAGAAAAATCCGTGAAAAAATGTGGCATAAATCATCAAAATACCGAATATCGGTAGGTACCGTTATATGGGGGCTATACCAAAACGTGGACCTATACATGCAATGTTTTGCCACACGCTCAGGTACCCGTCATGACCTACAAATACCAATTTTCAGATAAATCCGTGAAAAAAGGTGGCATAAATCATCAAAATACCGAATATCGGGAGGTACCGTTCTATGAGGACTATACCAGAACGTGGACCGATATATCTCATTTTCAATACCAACCATCCTAGGGACAATACACACACTTGTGCCAAATTTCAAAGGTCTACGTCAAATAATGTGGGCTCTATCGTGATTTCAACAGACAGACAGACAGACGGACAGACAGACAGACGGACAGACAGACAGACGGACATCGCTAAATCGTCTTAGAATTTTATGCTGATTATGAATATATATACTTTATGGGGTCTACGACGAATATTTAGAGGTGTTACAAACGGAATGACAAAGTTAATATACCCTCCTACCCATGGTGGAGGGTATAAAAAAAAACGCCAATCTGAAAATAAAATGTGTGAGTTTATACGCGACGAAAAATGCAAATCATTTTTTTTGTTGTTGTTTTGTCAACGATCGCAGACAGTGATCTATTCACCCAATCCGCCAGTCGCAGACGATGGATGGATGGATAAATGGATCAAAACAAACAATGAACAAACATGATGTGGGCAATGATCTCAAGTCAAATTTTATTTACCATAAATTTATATTTTGGCCCAGTAACGGGACAATGTAGTGGAAAAAAGAAGAATATTTAAAAAAAATGTAAAAAAAATTGAAATGTATTTTGTTGTTTGTATTCTTGTAAGAGCCGACAATTTTATCGAGTTCATCGTTTGCGTCACAATCATGTCCAGTTTATTTTCGAAATTGTATCATTGCCATTTGTAATGTCATTGTCTTGTGAACGAGAGGAAAACAAAAACAAACAAACAAAACAGCATAATGAATGCAAACAAAATTTGAGCGGAATATTTAAATTTGATGATTGTTTACTGTTTCGATTAATTCGTCTAATCGAAAAACATGAAGGATATTTCTCATGAAGGTTAGTTTACATATTAGATGTGTCTTGTTACTTTGGCTGCAGGAAAAAGTCCAGCAACATCTCTCTGAGAGAGTTAGTTTTATTCTCTTTGGTAAGAAAACTGTGAAAAGTAAACAGACGAATTCCTTGCAAAAACTTGCAAGCTGGTTTGTCAAAATAAATCAACTTGTCAGCCATAAAAAGAAATAGAGCTCGCAAAAATAAGCCGAAAATGGAAACAATTACGCTTGCCATTACCAAAATAAAAATGTTTTAAAGTTACTTGTCCAGGTATAAATCACCAGAAGGAGAAGAAGAAACTTTGCAAGTGATTGCAAGAAGAAATTTGTCCAGCAAGAATTTGTAAACTATCAATTAAAGAACTTTCAACATTTCTCTCTCGAGTTGTGACATAACTGACTGATTGAGAATCAACATCCAAAAGAAGTGGCCGAATCTAGAATTTTGGACAGTCTTGGCGCGTAGCCGTATGATAAGGCTGGGTTTTCTTAAAATTCGCACTAAAAGGGTACCAAAAGTACCCCCAAAAGAAAAAATTAAATACTGTGTATTGGACAAACGGAATGAATTATAATTCTGATATTTGGAATGAGAGTCATTGATGGAATGCAGAATAGATATACTGGAAATTTAAATTTCTA